ACTCGTTAACTTATCGAACGAAATTAACGAGTCGAACACGAGCTTCTTAAAGAGTTGAACACGAGTTGTTCGCAAACAGCGAGCCGTTTTGTCAGCCCTAGTCCCTGTTGGTGTTGCCGCTTTATCATTCTTCTTTGGCAAGTCTTCTTCAGAGTTTCCAGTTTCCACTGCCCATGAACTATTAAAGCCTTCCGATGCAGTTGATGATGCGTCCAGCTTCTTTGTCTTTCCCTTGGATAGTCACGATGTGAAGTGATTCTTTCTTAGGTTCAGCGAAAAGAGATCCTCCAGACAAAGCGAGAACTGTCACTGTGGAGGCAACTCGAAAACATCTTGAGCTCTTTGAATCTCCCTCGAGCATGAAGAATGAGGTTGCAAAGCCTGAAACCGTGGTTTCAGCTGAGGGTGCATTGAGGAATTGCCCTCCTTCCTTGAAGGTTAGTGGTGTGCCTGAATTTCGTACCCTACCATGCGAGAAGAGCTGGAGTTTCTCTCGGTGGATCAGCTCTTGCTCCTATGATCCGAAGATTGCCTTTGTTGCAGCTACTGTTTATTTGCTATTAGGCTCTCTCTTGGCTGAGCTGAGAGGAAATATAGTATTTGGATTGGAGGCTCCATCCTTCTTCTATCAGTACCTTCCAACATATGTGGATTTCGAAGGCCGAGTATGACGAATCTGGTCCTTCAATTGTTCACCAAAAATGCTTCTAGGTAGGCTTGGTAGGCATATTTTGTTCTTTGCAGAGATTGAATGCAATTGGATTTGTTTGGTATCGTCGGTGGGCGGACAACCACAGTCACGATTGCTGGAGATATCTTTGAGGTTGGCGCCTCGATCGTCGTGTTACCTTCCACCTTCAACTGCTTCCAACTCACGGCTTCGGCATCTCGGCTTCAGCACTTTTGGCGTGAAGATCAGGGCTCAGATCGTCCTCTTCGTCGCAGGAAGAATCAATAGCATTTAGATCGTTTAACAGGACGAGAATCCTACTTGTAGGCTATGATCGGTAGCACTTGGAGCAGGACACGGATCATATTTGTATGCTATGATCAATAGCATCTGGATCGTGTAATTGGATCCTATTTGTGGGCTATGATTTGTAGCAATTGGAGCAGGGCACGGATCCTATTTGTATGTTATGATCGATAGCATATGGATCGTGTAACTGGATCATAGTTGTGGGCTATGATCGTTATGATCGATAGCATCTGGATCATGTAACTGGATCATAGTTGTGGGCTATGATCGGTAGCATTTGGAGCAGGAAACGGATCATATTTTTATGCTATGATCGATAGCATCTGGATCGTGTAACTGGATCCTATTTGTGGGCTATGATCAGTAGCATTTGGATCGTGTAACTGGAAGCGGATCATTCTTGTGGCTATGATTCAAATTTCTGACGACAATAATAAATAATTTCTTGTTTTTCTTTGCTCAAATCATGTTATGGTTCAGAAGGTGTCGCTGAGGCTTCGACATTCTCGGTTTCGGGACTTTTGGATTCCTTTCGGATTCGACGCTTACGGGTTGAGGATTATTGGAACCGACAAAATTTCTTGTTGGCAAATTGACAGCATTAATTTGAGGGGGGATGGTGAACTTAATCCAACAATTATCAATGGAAAAACATGCTCACCCGATGAACCTAGAAGGAATCACTCGAAAAACTGACATTGGTATCTCGGGAGCAGGAGTTCCTAATCTGGTCATAGGAAGGGTAACATCAGTTTTTTTCCATTGTATCGGCTCTCACCTCCGTTCTCGGCGTCTCCAACTCCATCTCCGCCTACCAATGCGGCTAATGCCTTGCAAACTGGATTGCGATCAGAGACTCCTCCAGTCAGCATACTGCAGTCGATGATGTGGAGGAACCATCTGCATCGCACTCCTGAGTTTTCAGATCCGTCTAGAAGCTTGTTGCTACTGCCATTGCCAAGAGTAAAATTTTTTGTCTACCTATAGACACTACAGTAACTAAAGCCAAAGACAACAACAGTACAAAATGAAGATTTCAAGTTCTACTTCACAGGATATTCCTCGCACATCAGTTGATGTTTTCAAATTCAAGTTGAATGTGGTTTTCAACCATGTTTCAACTTGAGGGGAAGTGTTGAAATATCTAATTTAAATTACAGGATTTATTGTCTTTCCTGTTAAGAATTATAATATGAAATAATTTATTCTTAAAATAAGTTATGAGAAGAATAAATTATTAAATTATTTCCTTAGATTAAGGAGATATTTACTTTCCTATTTTATATTTATCTCCTTGAATTAGGAATTATTTGTTTTCTTATTTTATGTTATTTCTTAGTATTTCTTAATAATTAATATGAATTAATTATAGGAGATATCAGGTGATATATCTTTCATTTCATATCATTTCTTTTTTTATTATTTTTTCTATTATAGGATTTTTGTAAGGGTTATTTATACCCCTGTTCATATCAATAGAATAAACATCAAGTATTTCACAGTATTCCGCATTATTTCTGAATTTTAACACTTGTTGTTGTTGTATTATTATTATTAGTGTTGATCACATTTTAAATGCTACTTGTAGAAACACTAACAACAAAACAAAATTTTGCTGCTCACTCAATTGGTTGGCTTCGATCCAAGCAACATTTGGCCATAAGCTAGACTGATTCAAGCTAGGATTGGCTCATTTATTTCAGTTCAAACTCAATATCAACTAAGAAAACAATTTGATTCCAGTTGCTTGTAATCTTCTAAAACAAGCTGAGTCAGAAAACAGTTGAGGGACTGAAGCTTATTCATTACAATCCAATCATGAACAAGGCAAAAAACCAATACAATTCTCAAGCCCTAAATATATTGCAGCCATTAAGAACACCTGCTGCGAGAGCTAAAATCGCATTCTCAACACATAACTCCCAGCTATGTTCTAGTGAAAACATGTACATGGAGACAGCAGCTAATATTTTCTTATTGTTCTAGTTATATAAACGGGAATATAAAGATTCACATTAGGTAAAACAATACCCTCAAAGGTATACCAATCTGTGGAGCAGCAAGGCCGACACCAGGGGCCTTTCGCATGACCCCGATCATGCCATCAATGATCTTCTGGATCCTCTCCGATCCAATGTCCTCCAAGGGGACCTCGACGGCGGGTTCATGGAGGACCGGATCGCCGGCCTTGACTATCTCCGGCAGAGCTTCTTTCTTCACGCCGAAACCAGAGAACCATCCGGCGGAGACCTTTGAAGGGCCTCGTCTGCGAGCTGCGAAGCAATGGGAGAAGTCATGAAGGATGGGAGGGGAGCTTGCGGCTGCAAAGTGGCGGACTTTATGAAAGAGGATGGAGGAATTGAGAGAGAGTTGGAGGTTTCTGGGGATGCGTAGTATGATATCAAAGGAGGAGATTGGAAGGACGCGGGGAATGGCCGCCATTTTGGTTTCTTCCGAATAGATCAGTTTCAGCGGCTATGGTGTTAGGAGCACGCGGCCGGGAGCATATCTCGGAATTGGGCGAGGATGCCTCTTTTTTTAGTATTTTGTTGAGACAATTGCATACAGACCATCTGAAACTTGATATTTACAAACTGACCACCTTCTTTTATTCATTTTTTAAATTCTGACACAAATCTGAGAATTCATGATAATAAAACCAACCCATATTTTTCATTTTTTTCAAATTCTCAAATTTGTTATGATAACACGCATAAATACATCAGTTCTGTAGTTCAAAAATATTACTTAGAAAATTAATTTGTAAATATTAATGTTTCAGGTGATCCGTATGTAATTATCCCTATTTTTTTTAGCATATCACAAAGTTCTTATGTATTTACGTATCTAAAACCAAAAGTTTAATACTTATAATCATAACACTCAAATTTTTTAATATTATATTAAAAGTATCACTTTGATTAACTATTTAAAAGTTAAATGTACATTTTTATGCATAATGTCACGACAAAAAGTCCAACATTAGCTAGGTGTAGAATCGAAAAGCAATATTTAAGTCATGGGCTGTCCACCACCCTAAGAGTTCTTTCAGGAGGTGATAAGTGGAATCAGAGTCGATTACTGTCTGTCAGGTGTGTGGACTCTCCATTGTCCAATGGGACCCTCGGTGGAGCCGATTCGTGAAGAGGGAGTCACATGATTGGGTGGAGGAGAATGTAAAGGATAAAAAGTCTCACATCAGCTAGGTGTATGGCCGAAAAGCAGTATTTAAGTCTTGGGTTAGCCAGTGGAGGAGAATGTCAAGACAAAAAGTCTGATATCGGTTAACATGATAATAAAACCAACCCATATTTTTCATTTTTTTCAAATTCTCAAATTTGTTATGATAACACGCATAAATACATCAGTTCTGTAGTTCAAAAATATTACTTAGAAAATTAATTTGTAAATATTAATGTTTCAGGTGATCCGTATGTAATTATCCCTATTTTTTTTAGCATATCACAAAGTTCTTATGTATTTACGTATCTAAAACCAAAAGTTTAATACTTATAATCATAACACTCAAATTTTTTAATATTATATTAAAAGTATCACTTTGATTAACTATTTAAAAGTCAAATGTACATTTTTATGCATAATGTCACGACAAAAAGTCCCATATTGGCTAGGTGTAGAATCGAAAAGCAATATTTAAGTCATGGGCCGCCCACCACCCTAAGAGTTCTTTCAGGAGGTGATAAGTGGAATCAGAGCCGATTACTGTCCGTCGGTGTGTGGACTCGTCGATTCGTGACGAGGGAGTCACGTGATTAGGTGGAGGAGAATATCAAGGACAAAAAGTCTCACATCAGCTAGGTGTATGGCCGAAAAGCAGTATTTAAGTCTCGGGCTAGCCAGTGGAGGAGAATGTCACAGACAAAAAGTCTAATATCGGCTAGGTGTTTGTTGGGCCGAAGAGCAGTATTTAAGTCCTGGGTTGCCCACCACCCCTAGAATTTTTTTGGGATGTGACAATAAACTTCTAACAACGAGTTTTTATAAATGTAAATATCATGTTTTCGATGCCAGGTATACAAATCCACAAGAAATGTACGGTATGTGCGTAAATTTTTCTTGTTTCATTTTATTTTCTTATTAAATGATTCTTCTATGCACGCACATTTATACACGCATATATATGCCTACATAAAAATTGTGTAGCATGCATGTAAATGCCCCTATTATTTTTCTTTAGGATTGTGCATTTTTCGTCTGTGTAATGCAATTTTTACCTTAAATTCTATCTATTCCTATGATAAATTTACTATGTCCTAAGACCTACATATATATAAAACTATAGAATGATTATTCATATTTTGGAAACATTATTATTGCACATAAATGACTTAAATTTCATCTATTGTTGTGATAAAAGCATTTTCAACGCACATCCTTTTATCATTGTTTGGAAGCCTCTACCTTTCTTTTATATATCAAAATTAAGGGAGTTCAGTTATTCAATCATTAATTAAAATTAGTTGTGATCTACTTTTACAATAAATTGTCTTATTTTTATCCCAACATCGCTATCAAGAAGTAAGAAAATTAGGAAACTAAATTATGTACAAAATAATATGTCAGCATTAATTTTAAAGAGATCTAACGGTCCATAAGGGAAGACTATAAAGAAAGTTTGCCCATTGATAGGAGATCATGAGCTCACTTGACTGATTGAGCAAAGCCATACGAGCCAAGCCGACAAGACCAAAACCAAATGGACCACGAGACATGCAAGAGATTATAGGATGATCTAAGCATGCACCATTCGACTAGAAATAAGACAAAAGCATCCGAGCCAACTACTACAGGAAAGCTAATATGATGTGATAGCCTACCTTCTATTAGAACTAATCCGTGGGAAGATCATGTTCTCTATATCTTCAACCATCACAGGTATGCCTAGAGGCTCCTCCCCGGGTATTAAGGATTAACAGTCATGCTAAATCAACCGATCAACCCATGACGACCAAGCTTAGCCATCCAAGTTGATTCTGTCTACCCAAAACTAGCTAAGCTTATTCGGGCGAGCTAGAAAGCAGACTGACGATAAGCTCATTCACATAAAATACAACAAATATCGTAGTACTTACCACTTTAAAGGAGTGGCAGAAATATAATATCATCATTGTATCCTCTCATCTATAAATAGAAGAATCATTTTATGAATAAAACACATCATTTTATTATTTCTCTCTCTCTCTCTTTCTCTCTCTCTCTCTCTCTCTCACTTTCTCTCTTTCCTTATTTAGGCTCTATCCTTAGTTTGATTCACGAGGCATGTTGATTGCTCTCTTTTAATTGTGACTAAAAATTTATTAAAAATAAAACTAAAATAGTTCTAAATATTATTCTACCTTGCTTCCAATAAATACATTAAGATCTAAAATCCACGTTCAAATATTTATTTGATCCGAAGATTTTACTAATTAAGTATAAATTCTTATTTGTGTCCCATCTTCCAATCGAAAGGATAAATGATTAGGTGCTGGTCGCACATATGATCTTGCATACCGAATATGAGAATCAATGTATCTACGTATCACATAATTATACATACTCCAATTTTTATGCACAGAATTTGTTCCCATTTACAATATTTTGGCTGAAAATAAATTAAATTATTCTAAGATTTTAGATTCAGATTATACATCCATAATTAGGGCTGTCAAAATGGCTCGTTGTTTGCGAACAGCCCGTGTTCGGCTCGTTCGCTAGAAAAATTAATTGACTACAATGCTACAAAGATTTATAATCAATTAAAAGTATTAATTAAGAAAATAGAAGAACAATTATTAAATTACATTCAAATTATGTTTTAATATAAACAATAATTTTAAAATCATGCCCCAACCCTTAACATCTTATGACCTCATGATTAGGGTTGTCAAAACGACTCTTTGCTTGTGAACAGCTCGTGTTCGGCTCGTTAAGCAAACGAATCAAACACAAACATATTTTTTGAGCTTGAAATATAAACGAGCGGAACACTAGTTGAACTTGGGCTCGCTCGTATTCGGCTCGTTTACACCCCTATTCATAATACATAATACCACACAACCTAGCACTCAAATAAATTAAAATATATGATGACATGAAATCGTTGAAACTACCAAAGTAGAACTATGATACGCAATCCACACTTAGACGCATTCTATGATATCTCCTTTTGACAAGTCAGATTCAGCTCCACATCACCAACCATTTTACCCTATAAAAACAACAAAGAGATGAAACAAGCAGATATCAAAAACATTCATTTCATATATTAAGCAAAGAAGAATGATAAGCAGAGAAGATACAGCCATGGCTAACAGGAAGTGCAGCTCCAACACCATCTCTGCTTCTTCTTCTTCTTCTTCTTCTTCTTCTTCTTCTTCTTCTTCTTCTTCTTCTTCTTCTTTCGCAGCTGCGACGAAAAAAGAGAAAGCTCATGCGCCGGCAGGCGAGAGCGGTGAGAGAGCAAAGAGGGTTGAGTGGATGCATGAGGACATAGATGCAAGCGCAGAGGAGTTCATCAAGCGTTTTAGAGAAGATCTTCTGCTGCAGCGCCTTCAGTCTATTGAGAATTATAAGAAGATGCTTGCCAGAGGAGTCTGATTATGGATGGTTTTTTGTTTGTATAATATATGTTATTTGTTTGTGCTACTTCTTGGCTTTGTTTTATTTGGTTTTTTATTGGGGGCTTGTTTATTTGAAATTGTTGGATGTGTTGCCAGTTTTTGTGGTCGTAGAGTTTGTATTGTGGAGTTATTTTGGACTCTTGTCAGTTGATTGAAATGGAAATTTATGTATTTGAAGGCATAGTTTATTGGTTGGAAATGAAATAAGGAATCATGAGATTATGGGTTTGAGTGCTTGTTCTGGCAAAAGATCAATAAGCCAATTTCAAAATTGTACCATGAAGAAGAGGCCTTTGGAGTTCTTAAAGTAATGTCTCAATTTGGAGGTTTAAGAGCAGAAATTGATTAAAAAGGTTGTCCCTTCAGAAACAATTGATTGAGAGCTCCCATTAAATATTAAATTCATACTTTTGAAAATTTTTAATTTTTATCATAATTTTATTCTGTTAAAATGTTTCAGTTTTAATAATCATGCTCTAACAAACTTTAAATTTCAATATACTTCTATATGGATATTTACCTGTTTTTATTCTTTTTCTCCCTTTTTATTTTTTTAGGAGTAGTTAGTTTGTCTATTTATAATCATCGTGTTAATCCCTTATTCGAGTAAATTTACTTCCCTGATAAAATGAATGATTCAAAGAAGAGACGAACCAAAAAGAGGGATATGCGACGGGCAATAGACAAACGAGAGAAAGAATAAGGAGAAATATCGTAAAGTGAACTTCGCGTGAATAGCTCAAGAGTGTACGTCCTTAATGAGATCGGATCGAAAATACCTTGGAGACAAATCTGCAAAGCGGAACTTGTGAAAATGACCCACAACTAGAGAATAAAATATAAATGCTTTTTTTTTTTTGGGGCCTAGGGCAACTCTCAAAGAAACATATTCCTTTGGTTAATTACATCTTGGGAGATGCCCAAGAAAACTCTCGATAAAAAGAGTTTTGCTTATGAAATCTAGTTATTTGGGAACTAATGGATTTAATTCATATCAAGTGAGAATACTGATGCTTTCGACAATTATACCGAGCCATAGAGCAAAGGGTGAATCACCGTAACCACTAACCCCATCTAGGTCATGGTGCCTTCGAACAACCTATGCGTTCTAGACAACCTCCATAGTCAGAAGATATGTCAGGCAAGTCAGGTATGAAGAAGTGCAGAGTCTTTTCCTCGAGTATATGAAAATGAAACAGTTATCTAGAGTGATCCTTAGATTTTTGTGGAGACCCTATTAGACATGATGAGGTGTATAGCCATGTATAGCCATGCATGCAATCTGTTTTAAAACCAAACTGAAAACTAAACAAGAAAATAAAGGCAAGTTTCTAAAAATCCTTTTAATCCTAAAATTTTGATTATCACAATTTTTTATTATTATGTTTTCGTAGAAAGTTTAAATTTTTAGGTTCCTTAAAGAGCTTAGATTATAATTTTCATAGCATTCCAAATAAAACCATAAGAAAAGGGGCAAAATCAATCCAACTATGCAAAAATGCAAAAGAAAGTAAAAGTTTACCAAAATATAGAGAGATCGATGATGTTGGGTTGGAGTCATATCCCAGGAAAAGTGGTCAGACACCGCATAAAAATACCTGGTTCTAAGTCTATACAAGATTATAGATTCAGAATTAAGGTACATGACCCTCTTATTACTAGAATGTTGCATTATTGCATGCTTGTTTTGTATTGCTTGCATGAACACATTCGCACTTGCACCCCATTGTGCATCAGCAAACATATACCCCCATATGCTCATAGTGGGCATTTGTGCCTTTTTGGGTATCAAACTTCGTGCCCATTTCTTGACATTCTTAATGTCATTGTGCATACACTTTGCACGCTTACATGTTGTCTTGCATAACGTTTTGTATGTCCACGACTTGCGTGATTGAGGTTATCTCGAGTCACTATTAAAGTTTAAATTTCAATATACTTTTTATATGATTATTTATTTGTTTTGTTCCTTTTCTCCATTTTATTTTTTTAAGAGTCGTCAGTTTGTCTATTTATAATCGTCGTATTATTCTCTTATTCGAGTAAATTTTTCTCTTGAATAATATGAATAATCAAAAAAGGAGAGGAACCAAAAGAAAGGATATACGATGGGAAATAGAAAAATGAGAGAAAGAACGTGGAGAACTTCCGTAAAGTGAAATTCGAGTTGATAGCCCCATAGTGTACTTTTGAAATGAGATCGGATCGAAAACATCTTAGAGACATATCAGCGAAGAGGACCTTGCCAAAGTTACCCACAACTAGAGAATCAAGTATAAGTGCTTATTATGGGGCCAAAGGCAACTCTCAAAGGAATATGTTCTTTTGGTTAATTACATCTTTGGGATGTCCAAGAAAACTGTCGATCAAAAAGTCAGGTTTCCTCGCCACTTGGCAAGCATAAGTCCCACCTCTACTTTCTACCTACATAGGGTCATAGGATTTAGAGCATGATAGGGTAGCCGAGTTATTGGCTCATTTATTTTATGCCTAAAATACCCTGAAGTGCCTAAAAGCAAAGGTCAATCATGTAATTGTGTACTCTATACCCCCCACCCCCTTAAAAATAGATAGGTCATTTTTACAATAAGTGTTAATCAATCATTCCTCAAAGCTAGTTCTTCTCAGTGCTCTCTTTTTTCTCTCTCTCTCTCTTTTCCATGAGTTTGATCAACAGAACTGATCCTCATTCAACATACTCATTCTTGGTAAAATGGTTTTTATTTTTCTTAAAAAAAATATTTAAGGGGCATAGCACATTTTATGACATTATATAGATAAATCAATTGCAAAAAATAACATGTGGTCCATATTCCATAAAAAGTTAGTCATGATGCCACGTCCATATCAATATTGAAGTATGCTTTATTGTGCCTCCCATATAATTTCAAAAAAGATGTGGATGTGCGGCACAATGAGTGAAAGTCTTATTATATAAGACATTCTCTTCCATCAATTTAATGTACGGACAAAAACTTCCTTTTGAAATTGTGAGTCACATGATTCAGCTGCCAATAATCAAATTTGATACATATTTGATCGGCAGCCTTTTGATCGTGACACGAAAGCCTGTTAAACCGCGCGTTTTTCACGAACCTGGCCGCCTCGGCACGTTTTTTGGGGATTTCTTTTCAGAAATTGGGTAGATTATTCGGTTTTTTATTCCACCACGACTTCATATTTTCTTTTTTTTTATTTTTATTAAGAATAAAATATAAATTTAATTTAAAATATATTTATATTTTCATTGAATATAAAAAAAAAATGATTTATATGTGTACCATTGAATTCCTATTAATTTACATTACTCAGAATAAAAATACAAATAAATAGAAAAATAGGATATAATTTACGCTCAAATTATAATATAAGTATTTCAACTAAATTTCTCTTAAAGTAAAAAAAAAAAAAATTGACTCGTTTTCCTGGCAACGGCACTAAAAATTTGATGTAATAAATAGAAAAATAGGATATAATTTACGCTCAAACTATAAGTATTTCAACTAAATTTCTCTTAAAGTAATAAAAAAAAAAATTGACTCGTTTCCTGGCAACGGCACTAAAAATTTGATGTCCGAAACTATTGTTTGGCAAGTCAGTTAATCGCACGAGTATTCATGTCGATCGAATAATATACAAATTATGATTTGGTGCATCAATTACACGAGGAAAGTTGTGAAAATATTTTTGATTGAGGAAGTTATAATTCACTAACTGTTCAACCTGGCTTGAAAGTTCAGTTTGCAGAAATGAAAAATTCTAAAATCCTAATGTAGAATGAATAAAACTAAACTAGATTTTGGGAAGTTTTTTTAGAACTAAATGGTTAACACTCCTATATAATATTGATCTAATATTTTCTTAATGTTTTTCTATGAAATATATGTTATTGTTGACAATTAAGGATATGTACTCCTTAGCCTATATATAGATCATAAGTAGAATTGGAAACCATATTGCAGCTAGGAAGGACTTAACCATGTCGTGCTTCCCAGGAATCCTCTAGGTTGCAATTTTCTAATGGCAATATATTTTTTCACCAGACTATTGTGTGTTAACATACATGTCCTTCTAGGCAATGGTTAGAAGTCCAAGATTACAAAGAGTTTTAAAATTATATTAGTTTAGATTCTAAGTAACTTAAGAGTAAAAAGTTAACACGTCTATATATGTAATCTAAGCACAAAAAAGGCATATAGGAAACCAAAACCATAAAACTAAACCAAAAAAAAAATCTTAAATATTACATCATAAGAGTATAAAAATAAGATTAACTACAATGCATGAGAAAAGAAAGCACACAAATTATTTTTTTCGGACATAAAAAAGAAAAAATGCAAGAAGTACAAAAAACTCAAACCCAAGCCAATTAGCCCTCATAGAATTGCACTCATTATTTCCTCACAACTTTTCCAAACCGACAAGAAACAACCCTAGGAATCTTCCATAAAGAAAACCATTGGAGAAAACCTTAGGATTGACAAAGATTTGTAGTACAACACGGAGAGAAGTAGTCTCCACGATTTCCAAGCGTGCCCTAATCATCCTTTATCATCTTCTTATACTGCTCTTACCAAAATCATCATGAATCATTTTGTCAAATCAAGCTTGATCTGGTCGTGACGTAGCTACGCCCGTGTCCGACGTAGTTATGCTAAGGTCGGAATCATTACACTAAGACCTAACGTAATCTGACTCATTACATGCTTGAAATAATTATTTCGCATATTGTTGTATTTATGTTGGGTTAACTTCCTTTCCACTTCATGTTTTCTTTTAGAAGTGCAGTCGACCCATGTAATCTGCATAAAACTACCAAAAACACCTTCCACGATTATAAATCATGATAATTAAGGAAGAAAATACATATTTAAAGTAGGGAATTATGTAAATTTACTTTATATCACTCATCATAAGGGTGAATTCATTTTTGTATCCTTAAATTAGGGTTGACTCGCATTCCTAACATAGCTTAAACCCAGAAATGCTAATTGACCCTTGAAAATTGGGCTAGACGACATTATACCATTTAATGCCCTCGAAGTATGGTTACCCCATTCCATCTTAACTAGCCTCATGTTTTATGTTTTGTTATGTGGTAATTTAGAGCATGATATGACATCTAATGGCTATCGAGAGAATTGTAAGTCTATTTTAGATAATTTAACTCTTACAATTGAACTATTTATTTCTATATATTTCGTTTGATAAGCTTCCAGT